ATAAGTCAGGGCGACCACCACAAATGACAGCTTGCTCTCCGTTAGACAGACAGACAGGAGCAATGTCTGTACCCATTACCGAATCAGCGAAACTGAGGAAAACCCAGTAAGTTCCAGTGTGAGCAAGCAGTTGTCAATGGGCACTTACTAGACAGTGCATTTTCTACCACACGACCCAGCATGCTGAAGCACAACTGTTGCCCAGGTGCTTGGGAGATCGAGGCAGGAGGACTGCAGACACTGGAGTGAGCTACACAGTGAGGTCCAGGCCCTGCTACACTGTAGAGGGAGACTTTGTCTCCAGAACAAGTGTGTTTGAGCTGCCTCCCATTGCCTTGATTTAGTGATGCTACTCCTGATAATTCATCCAGGAAAGTTGCTCACAATGAGGAAAAAATATGTGTCCAAATGTGTTCTTCACCCCGTGACACACTAGAAATGACACACAAAAGGCTGACGGAAGTGGGAACAATACCGTTTCACTGTGTGCAGCCGTTAAACTGATAAATGCCATGTGCCTATGGGAGAGAGTTTTTTCATATAAACAGGGCAAAAATACAGTTATAACTGATTCAAACTATGCTTATGGTAATAGCAATGGCCAGTCAGTGGTGGCGCACACCTTTAATTCTAGCATTTGGGAGGCAGAGGCAGAGAGATCTCCAAATTCCAGGCCAGTCTGGTCTACAGAGTAAGGTCTAGAACAACCAAGACTACACAGAGAAGCCCTGTCTCGGAAATAAAATAATAATAATAGCGATAGACACATAATTTCAAAAATGAAAAGAGATTTTGAAGTGACATCTTTGTAATTTAACTTTTATTTTATAATGTTTTTAAGGTTGTTCAGCCATAAATGTTTGATATAACAATGGCTGTCTCCAGCCTTACCTTCAGAACTCATCCACATGAGCTGGGCATAGTGGTGCATGCCTTTATTCCCAGCACTCAGGAGGCTGAGGCAGCCAGGTCTAAGGAAGATCTCTGTGAGTTCGAGGCCAGCCTGACCTACAGAGTGGTACAGGCCAGCCAGTGCTGTACACAGGGAAACCCTGCCTCAAACAAACAGAAAAGGCTACTACTGAGTAAAGACCTGAAGGAAGAGAGCAAGCAGATGTGTGGGTGCCTCATGGGTGTCCCTGAAAGGAGAGCAGGCTTGGCAGGCGGGAACAAAGCATGCTCTCTTTAGTAGGTTTGTTTCCATTGCTGTGTCCAAGGAAGGCTGTGGCAGGGCAAGATGGGTACAGGCACCAGTTAGGAAACGATCAAAACAATTTAGGCAACATGAAGGCGGGTGAGAGGTGGGAAGTGAGCGGTCCTTCTTGTGGGTTTTTGTTTTAGTTTGGTTTTGAGGCATTGATTTGGGGGGGGTTATTTGTTTGTTGCTTGTGTTTTGAGACAAAGACTCTCTGTAACCCTGGCTGTCCTGGAACTTGATATGTAGACCAGGCTGATCTTGGACTCACCGTGATCCTCCTACCTCTGCCTCTGCCTCCTGAGTGCTGGGATTAAAGTGTATTGCACCATGCTAGAAGTGGGCACCTTTGAAGGCAGATGTGAAAAGATTTACAAAAGACTGATTATGTGCTGGAAGAGGAGAGAAGCTAAGGTTTGGGAGCAACGTGGTAAGAAGTGGTCAAGGGGATGCTTTGGGATGTTTGGATGCTCACTAGACGCCCAGTAGACCTCTCAAGTTGATAACTACCTGTTCAAATTCACAATGTGAGGTGGGTACCAGGTTAAAGCTATACATTTGGTCATTATCAACACATTAGCTTTAAATGATGATAATTCCATAGGATGAAGGTGTTCCAAGGACTGGGGCCTAGCAAAATCCACTGCTAAAGATTTGGGGATGGAATGGACCCAGCTAAGGCGATGTGGACTGACCTGGAGAGTGTGAGGAAGCCAAGTGATGGAAAGAATCAGTCAGTGGTGACGACGATTGCAGAACAAACACCTGAGAACACTTTTCACACACACAACCAATCAAATGAAAAGCTGTTCATCAGTAAGAAATAAACTACAATAAACTCCCAAGGAAAAAAATCAACATTGGAACATTTAGGGTTTCTTATTTTCCACAGCCTCCCATGTCCATCATCAAAGCTGTTGCTTCTAGTTGCTCTATGATCATTTTTTTAAATCTCACAAAGATGTTATCAAGATTCGTGTGATAACAAACAGAAAATAATCTAGTTCTTTGTGATATGAGTCAATAAAGGATCAGACTGGTTGTGAGTTGTTTTAGCGAGCTAGACACTAAAAATTACTTCTACACACGTAAAAAAAAATCTATACAAGATTATGGATGTGTGTATGTGTGTGTCAGTCAGATTTACTCATGATACAGTATGCAATGATGCTGATTTGTAAACATAGTCATCACATTGTCTTAGCATCTTTTTCCGGAGATGCCAGCTAAGAAACCCAGCTTCTTCTGCTCTTGGGAGCAAGGGTGTTTTATTTAAATCACCTCAGCTGGTAGTCTTCGAACACAGACATCCTGTCTCCACTCCAGCTCTTACTGAAAATCAGGCTGCCAGATCAATAAGCCACAAAGAGAGTCAAATAGAATGGGAAATCAAAATAGGCACCAAACTTTATTGTACTAAAAAGAACTGTAAATTTTAGGATAAGTTTCTGCCGAACCATGAGAGGGTTCTCACGCCTGTTCGTATAGCTGCATTTTATACTATTCTCAACTGACCTGGCCTTTTCCCAGACATTCTTATGCACACAAATCTTACTCACCCTGAAAATATCCTGCAAAACATTTCTTCAGCCAAGTGGACTCCACATGTGTCTTGTGGTGTCATCATAACATACAGAAGTTCATAGGTTCTAATCTCTAAGCAAATCTCAGAAAGGATTAGGCATTATTATTCTTAGGAGCTGGGTTTCACAGACAAATACCGTGTAGACACTCTGAGATGGTGAGCTGAATATAAATGGCAAAAACCTCATTTTGGTGAAATCAGGGGACTTGTACACTGCCTTGACTCATTGATTAATCTTCAGCAGATCATGCAAACCCAAATGCATCTGTCTCCAATGCTTTGGTTTGTTTTACAGCCTTCTCCTGTACTATTCAATGAATGCTATAAAAATAAAATGTTTATTTTCCATTACAGCAGGATGGAAAATGTCAAGAATGAGACCACAAAAACACCATGCCATAAAAAAATAAAAATAAAAAAGATCATGCTATGTCCCAGGTCTTTTCTTCATAGTAAGTCTGACAGCAGTTACCATCTGGTCCTCAGATCAAGCCAAAGAGCATGGACTTTCCAAGCCGGACATTTAAAGGTGGTTGCTGTCGTAAAAAAAATTAAATAGCCAGGCACAGTGGCACACTTCTATAATCCCAGCACTGGGGAAGCAGAGGCAAGAGGGTCAAGAGTTCAAGGTCATCCTAGGAAATGTTGTGAATTCTGGGCTACATGAGACACTGTCTCAATTCATACACACGCAAAAATATTAAAATAAAAACTGAAATAAGCATGATTTTCTTTTTTAATTATTTATTTTTATCTTATGTGTGGATCCCCTGGAACTGGAGTCACAGATAGCTGTGAGCTGCCATGTGGGTGTTGGGAATGGATCCCGGGTCCTCTGGAAGAGCAGTCAGTGCTCTTAACCACTGGGCCATCTCTCCAGCCCCAATGAGCATGGTTTCTTAATATCAGATGGTTATTTATATTTTATTTCTTATTCATTTACCCTTATGCTCTATCATCTGTATGAACTATAATTTTCCCTTAGGTTGTTAGTCTGAAGGTTAGGAATGAAGGGTTTGTAACTCGGTTTCATATTCCCTGGTACAGAGCTATAACGCAAGATACTTAATAATCGTTTAGTACTTGCAAAAATGGTATTTGTTGAGCCTGCTGCCTGGTAAAGGCCACTCTAATAATACCTTGAAGACAAAGGAAGGGAGGAACTATGGGATATGTGTGGTGATGATTCCCTCAAGAATCACCACTTCATTGATAGTCGTTCAAGTTTTGTTAATAAAGAGAAGCCGAAAGCGGTGGTCCATGTCTTTGAGCCCAGCACTCAGGAGTCTGAGGCAGACAGATTTCTGTGAGTTCAAGGCCAATCTGGTCTACAAAGTGAGTTTCAGGATAGCTTAGAACTGTCTGGAATATGCATTGTGTGTGTGTGTGTGTGTGTGTGTGTGTGTGTGTGTGTGTGTGTGCATATTGCTATAGAAAGCTTTCGAAGGTTTCACTACCCTGTTCTCCTCCTGGTCCTCAGCGTACAGCACACGGGCACACCCACAGGCTGGTGTCTCTTCCTAAGTATGCTAAGGTTTTCTTCTCACTTTTGCTATTATTTACTTACTTACTGCTTCACTGACAATTTCATACATATGTGCAATGTATTGTGATTCTATTCAACCCCATTACCCTCTCGCGTCTCCTCTCTCTGAGCCCCTTCTTCCTGACTAGTCCTGTCTCCCACCTACCCCTCAGTTTAACTACGTTACTTATGAGTATGGGTAGATGGTTACTTTACTGGAACATAAACAACTTACCAATGGCCACACTACTGAAGAAAAAGACACTGCCTCCCACTACTATCATTAATGCCAATGACAGTTACTCAGGAAGGGGCTGGGCACCTCCCCCACCATGATGGACTGCCCAAGGGCCTAGTCCTGTGAAGGCCTTATGCAGGAGTCCCATAGCTGCCACGTGCTCATGGTTACCACATCCACATCATATCTGGATGACTATTTCATAGCACTCCTTAATCTTCATTCTTTATAGATTTTGGACAGGCCCACCATGATGGGTAAACTGTTTTTGCTTTGTTTTGTTTTATTTCACATCAAGGCTCAAAGAAAATTCCTTGAAAGTCAATGGCGTTCTTCTGCCAAGGGGAGGCACCTTCCAGCCAAAATTAGTTGAAACTATACTAACTTGATTTACCACCCTTCTTTCCTCCTCCCTCCCCCCCTTTCCCTTCCACTTTCTTTCCCTCTGCCTATTCAGGTACAGAGCAGTGGCCTCGTGGAGTCGTGTTCAAGGAATCGGGATCCCCTTGATTACCGCCATTGAAATTGTCTCCATCTGGGTCCTTTCCTTTATCCTGGCCATCCCAGAGGCCATCGGCTTCGTCATGGTACCGTTCGAATACCGGGGTGAGCAGTATCGAACCTGCATGCTCAACGCCACGACCAAGTTCATGGAGGTACTGAGCATTTGCACAGTTCACCCACCATACCCAGGTCAACATTATAAAGACATGCTGAAGCTCCGAATAAATAAGCTGGGCAGGGAGGCTCCGTCCTTCACTGTCCTCATCTGCCTGGAGGGCAACGTTGGCCTTGTGTAGCCTCTTAAATAGAGCAGCTGTGTCATCTCCCACTCTCCCCACATAGTGCAATTACAGACATTCCATCTGACAGACATGGACATGTCACTGTGAATGTGCGGGTTGCTCGGTTATAGTTCTGAACACAAGTCTTATTTACCCTAAACGTACTTCACAAAACTCTTCTCCAGCAAAGCAAGCTGCACGCGTGCCCTATGGGGAGTCACTGTAGCACACACGAAACTATAGATCCTGACCTCTACAAACACTCGGCAAGGAATTGGACACCCAGAGTCCCGGAAGTCGGACTCGCTCCCCGTAAACAGGTTGCCTTGCTGCCTGGGCTCATATTGACACAGACTCTAGGCCTGGCCCCCCAGCAAATCAGCCTTGTTCTGAAAAGCTTAAGCGCCTGTCTGAGCGCACTGGGAAACACGTTTCAGAATGCATATTCCCTTTGCAAAACTGGTTCCAGGTGGACAGAGGACAGAACTAGCAAGTTATCCATGTCCCCCGAGTTAAGTGTTTCGATGCCAGCATCACCTGCTCAGGTCCACATCACAGACAGCTCAAGCTATGCTTTCCTACAGAGGGAAATTCACCAAATTCATGATTCTGCAGTTGGTCGGTTGTCCTGCTTGGACATTTTTATTTTAAAATTAAAAAAATCTCATGAAAACTGGCAACCTCAAAATCCAAGTCTTTTCCTTATTGCCTTCTTAGCTAGGCCAGTTTACACAATGAAAGACAAGACAGTGGGTGGCGCAGCCCACGGTTAGGGTTTGGAATCGGGAGGAGAACATAAGCACTAGACTGTCCAAAGAACGCCAGCAGAGGAGGAGGGGCCTGCGAGAAGGCCCTTTCCAATCCCTGGAAATAGACCAAATGAAGCAGGCAGCATCCTAAAGGGTGTAAGACAAACTGGTGAGGCTTCAGAGTTCATCCCAAGCCTGGAATAAACACACTTATTTTTCTAACATGACCTCCGGTCTACCCTCAACTCCCCTCTTCACCTCTGCTCTACTCTAGACCGGCCCAAAGCCCTCTCCAATCCCTAGCTAATGACATCAGGTTAAAAACAAAACTGTGCCACCCTTTTCTCAGTAGGACTCTCTCATGGGGGTGTGGGGGCTATTGCAGCCAGCTCTGTCCTGGGTCACCTTCCAGCCCCCAGGCAGCTGCTTCTAGGCCACACCCACTCAGCCCGTAGTTTTGTGGGAAGAGGATACAAGAGTGAGGTGGGTGGAGGAGGGAGTGGAGGGTGTGGGGCAGCCTCAGAAGATGTTTGTGCCTCCAAACAAGGACAGAGTTGGATTTTTTTTATTTTTTTAAGTTCCAGACAGAGATCCTTCTGCGGTAGGTGCACTAGGAGAAATCTGTTTAACAATCTGAAATAACAAACTTCTTTGGGAGTCTGTACTTAATCTGGGATTCGATTCAGGAGTCTAGGAGCTTGGATTGGAAAAAGAATGTGTTTGTTTTCACTAAGTTCCTCTGACTTTAAATGTAGATAATAGCCTGTCGGTGGTGGCACACGTCTTTAATCCCAGTACTCGGGAGGCAGAGGCAGGTGGATCTCTGTGAGTTCGAGCCAGCCTGTTCTAAAGAAGAAGTTCCAGAATAGCCAGAGCTACACAGAGAAATACTATCTCATAAAACCAAAACCAAAACAAAATAGAATTATAGTTAGCAAAGCACTGTGATGTTTAAGGGCGCCGTGACATTTTAGAGAGACTCAAGTGAGCACAGTCCTGACATATTAGCTTAGCCAACGTGGCCAGCCGTAGGTCCCAGTGGGAGACCCTGTCTCAACAAACAAGGCAGATGGCTCCCGAAGAATGGTATCTAAGGTTGTTCTGCCCTGCACACACACACACACACACACACACACACAGACAGAGAGAGAGAGAGAGAGAGAGAGAGAGAGAGAGTATTGTTCTCAGAATGAACCCTCATGTTCACCAGATTTCCAAGGGGGTCTATGGCATTCGACAGTTAAGAAGCCTTGCCTTAACTTTTGTCTTCTGGAACCATTTTTAGATGATTTTTAACAGTCACAAAGGGTTCCTTTCCACGTTCAGAAGCTGCCAGTATTCAGGGAACAGGATGCGCATATTGAGCTATCCCAAGAGGCTACATTACCCTCATTAATATAAAAGTCTGGAGAAAAGGCATAAGGAAGTAAAAAAGCCTTCCCAAGTTCCAGGTTAATTCAGTAAAGCATTTGAGTATCATTGTCCACTTTCAATTGTATTCTCCTTTAAAAAAACAGAAAACCAGGGGCTGGAGAGATGGCTCAGTGGTTCAGAGTACTGACTGCTAATCCAGAGGATCTGGCACCTTCACACATAGATGCAGACAGAGAATAAAAATAAAGTTTTAAAAAAGGCAGAAAACTGAACAATTTGGATTTGTATAACTCCTTGCTGACAGAGACATAATGCCGAGGCAGCCTTTAGCTGCAATGTTCCAGGTCAGTAGTTTCCAGGTGGCAAGTATTAGGAGAGAGAGTGGAGTTATTGATGGCTGAGCTGCTTGACTCTGGGGTCACATAGCAGTCATACCAGGCAAAGGGTTAAGTCCACTAACCGCAGCCACTGATAAGCCATTCACTGTTAGCTTTCACTGGTCCTACGTGAGTACGCTTTAACTACACAACCAAAGAGCCAGCTGATCTTATCAAAGTGTTGAGGATCATCAATACACAAAAATGAAATGTCTCAAATCCCATTTTATGAACTTCAAGAGGAGACTCTTTGTGCTGACAGAGCTCCTCCATTGTGGAATAGAAATTGGAATGAGGGTCTCAGAAGTACCCTTGTAGGGATAAGTAGATAATTTTGATATGCATGTTTTTCATGTGCTACAATTTAGAGTACAGAACTTGCTTAAATCCAGTGCTAAAAAATAAAGTAAATATTGAGCATAATGCAAGTTCTTTCCTGCTGCCAAAGAGGGAATACATGACTGCGTCTGTACGCACAAAGGGCGGCGTGGGCAGGGTGCTGCACAGTCCCATCTTCCCTTTTCCTCACTGAACAGTTTTACCAAGACGTGAAGGACTGGTGGCTCTTCGGCTTCTACTTCTGCATGCCTCTGGTGTGCACGGCCATCTTCTACACCCTCATGACCTGTGAGATGCTCAACAGGAGGAATGGCAGCTTGCGGATTGCCCTCAGCGAACACCTCAAGCAGGTAAGTCTCCACAGTTCCCGGGAACTCGGCCGAGGCCATTGGGATGAACAAGCCTGTGAATGCAGGCACTTGCTTACAAAAGCATCACAGTCGGCCGCAACTGCACAAACGACCATGGCTTCCATAAGATTAAAACGGACTGAAAGCTGTCACTGTCACCATTTCTTACGGTACCTTCCCTATGCTAAGACATATTGAAATAAGCAAACATCAGTGTATTACAATTACCTAAGCTAGCCAGTACAGTAATGTGTTGTACACATGTGTAGTCTAGGAGTGACAAGCTGGACCACACAGCCTACTGTGAGGTAGATAATACCATCCAGGAGTGTGTTAGTACATGCTATGGTGTTGGCACAGTGTTAAAACTGCCTAGCTATACATTTTTTCAGAACATACCTCTGTCTTTAAGCGGCACATGACCATGTCATATGTAACAGATTTATGTTTATTTTCTAAAAATAAAAATGTTCTCTCATAGCTGTTTTCTTTATATAGCCTTAGGAATTCCTGGTGGGAAGTGGGAATCCTGCCTGTAAACCAGATGGCCCTGGGAGGCTGGGCTTAAAGATAGTTAGCTCCAAAAGTACATTGAGCATGTGTGTACGCACGCATTGAAATGGGCTTGTGGCTGTGCCAGGACAGAAAGATGCCTGTGCCCATCTTCCCCTGTGTGTTTTGTAGTCTGGTTGTGAATAAAATACAAATGCAGGCAATTAGAAAACAGAAAGATGCTGTGCGGTCCAAGCAGACATACAGTAAAAAGCCGAGGCCTGTATGAAATGAAACTGGAAAAACTGCCTTTGGATGCACTAGAACAAGGTCTGTTATTTGGGGGAAAGCAGAGGACAAAAGCTGTCTCAGTTGGAGGATGAAGCCCTGGGAGAACATGGAAGGGCACCAGGCAATTGGGAGCGGGAAAACAGGAATCAGTTTGGTCAGATCAGCACCTCAAAGAAGACTCATGATAGGAAATTTGACTGAACACAGAAAAGGAGGTGAAATCTTGGAGGCCCAAAGTCTCAGAAGGAATTTGGACATGCCAGTGGGAGCTAGTGTGCCCTGTGGGCAGCAGCCAGAACAGTCGTGAACTCCCTAGTCACATGACATTGGGCAGATTACTTCATGTCTCTAAGCTTTTAGTTTCTCATAAGCATGTAGTAATATGTTTACAGATTGCCAAACGTATATAAGGTGCCTGACAGTGTCCAGTTCCTAGTACACACTCAGCAAATAATTCATTTATGTTGATTCATAGAGTTAAAGTAGAAGTACAAGTAAGTGCTTGGCAGCAGTGGGAGAGTACATATGAACATATAATAACACGCGGAGAATACATACAAACATATAATAACACAGGGAGAGAGTACATACGAACATTCAATCACAGTGAGAGAGTACATACAAGCATTCAATCACAGTGGGAGAGTACATACAAACATTCAACCACAGTGGGAGAGTACATATGAACATGTAACACGGGGAGAGTACATACGAACGAACATTCAATCACATATGGAGAGTACATACGAACATCCAGTCACAGTGGGAGAGTACATTCGAACATTCAGTGGCAGGGGAGAGTACATTCGAACGTTCCATCACAACAAAGGCAGCGAAGATGTTGCTGGAGCCCCTAAAGCTAGCCATATAATTATCACACACAAGCACGCATTAGCACCCTTTCAATCACTCTGCTGATTCCCTGAGTTTCAGCCCCTTGTCTGCAAACTGGCCATAATAATACATGAATGTGCTTTTATGAGACTCTCAGGAAGGAATGTGCACATGTGTGCTCTGTGAAGTCTACTGTGTCACACAAATGGTAGCTATTACCTTTGACTGACAGTAGTGTTTATGTTGAGAAACTGTAGCCCGACTTCGTTCAGGCATGAATGTTACAGATACTTCAAGTGCAAAATTAACCCTTTAAGGCCAGTTGTGGTGGTGCAATCTTCAATCCCAGCAGTAGGGTGGCTGAGGCAGGTGGATCTCTACGAGTTTGAACCCAGCCTGGTCTACAGAGTGAGCCCCAGTCTGGTCAAGGACAGTGAATAAACATTGCCTCAAAAATAAACAAGCAAAAACAAAAAAAAAAAAAACAAACTAACTGAGTAACCCAGCTTTACAGAGCCCCCAGCCTTGCAAAGTGGAATGCTGCATGTCCCTCCTCCACACAACGCTCTGGAACCACACCCTCGCTGGTGTCCTGACTGTAGGGGATTAAAGGCTTCAGTTCTCTGGGCCACAGCAGCAGTGTGGCACGAGAGTCTCTGCGAAGGGCTCAGCTGCATGTGTTTATTTTAGGTTTCCTGAACTTAATGTTAGAAGCCTCCAATTGAGCCAGCATTATTTTCCAGCAGTCTGTTTCCAGTCAACTTTGTTTGGCATTGATTGACCCCAGTTGCAGACAGCTTGCATTCTATGTCCCCAGTTCTGCTTCTGAATGGGGGGGTTGGGGGGGGTGAGGCGATAAACCTCAGCAGTGTGAGGCAATTCCCAACCTATGGCTGCTAAGACCACGAGCAGACCCAGAGACCGGTAAAGCTTCAGTTGGAGTCAGTGCCTCGTCAGCACCCAGTGATAGTTGCTGATAGTGCCCTTCTGTTTGCAAATAGTGGATCTCCGGAAACTATAAAGCATTAAAAAGTAATTTTAAAATTAAAAGCAAATTTCAACCCAGGCATAGTGGCACATGCCTATAATGAGGCAAAGAAATTTTGGGGAGGCCCAGAAATTCACAACCAGCATGGGCAAAAAAGCAAGACCCTGTCTCAAACAAAATAAATAAACAGTAAATAAAATCAAAGCAGTTTCAACAGTAGTTTCAAAATCAGAAACAAGTGGAAATGGGCTGCTTTCTCTATACACTTGCTCGTTTGGGGGCTGTGTCCGACCGCCTTGGCTGCCCTGCCGTCACTAGAGCCAACTGCCTGACTCTCAACTTTCAATTAACCCTAAGTAGTGCTCCTGTAGCCCTCCGCACTCCTCAAAAACACATGTGCCCTCAACAAACACACATGCTCCCATGCTTAAACTCACAAACACACATGCTCCCATGCTTAATCTCACAAACACACGTCCTCGTGCTTAGATTCAACCACAGTGTAGACTCGGGCCAGTTCCTGATGTCCTGGCATAGACCTCTACTGTAATCCTCAGGACAACATGAGCCCGACAACTGCCCAAAAGCATGGTTAAGGATGCTTCCATGAGACAGTTGCACTCTGGGTATTAAAATACAGATGTCGTGTGAGGGCCACGCTCTCCTCCCTCTGGTGTGTGGCAGCACTCACCCGTGTCCTTGTCTGCACGCACTCTCCCTAGCGTCGAGAAGTGGCGAAGACCGTCTTCTGTCTGGTGGTCATCTTTGCGCTCTGCTGGTTCCCTCTTCACTTAAGCCGCATTTTGAAGAAGACTGTGTATGACGAGATGGAAACGAATCGGTGTGAACTGCTCAGGTACCGTTCCAGGTGCCCACTAAGGAAACTAGTCTCCCAGATTTTCACATTTATAGAATGGTTGCATTCTTACTCGTTCTGAAACTTAAGATTGTAACCTTAATTATATGTTTTTAGCTGACACAGCCCATAACTGATCCCAAAATGTGAGTCCTGTCTATAATCTTGCTGTTCCCTTCCTAAAGCCGTGCACAGGGATTGCCACTAACCACAGCATTGGGCCTGTCGCCCTTCTTACAAATGTCCACCTGCCACTGTGAGATGTAGCTTTGGGGCATGAGAAATGCTCATCTGAGGGACAAATGCTGCTTACAGGTTTTCAAGTGGCGTGTTTTGATGACACTGTTTTCTTTTGCTTTAGCTTCTTGTTGCTCATGGATTACATCGGTATCAACTTGGCAACCATGAATTCTTGCATAAACCCAATAGCTCTGTATTTTGTGAGCAAGAAATTCAAAAATTGTTTCCAGGTAAGACTGTTTTGCAAGACTGGTAGCACTAAGGGCTACCAGCGCAGTGTGCCCCATACCCACCAGGCACAGCCCACTCCATTTCTTCCTGCTTTGACCAGGCATGTTTCTCTTCATTCAAGAAATGAAAATCTCTTCCTGCTGCCTAGAAAGTCAGACTTGAACAGAGCGGAAAATCAGTATATATCCAGATGACATATTCACAGGTTAAAGCTAAAAGGACTGGCTTAACCACATACCAGTTTAGTGCCTCCCTTCAAAAGGAATGCTCAAATGTAAGCATCATACACTGGAAATGCAGAAAGCCAATTCACACCTTTCATTGTCTTAGACTTGAACCAGTCTTAGGCAAACATGAACTCTGTGGCTGAGAAAGCTCTCACTAAATACAATTAAACTGTGCATTTGATAGCATTCTTTTCTAAATTGGAGGGGTGATCCAGCAGGTGAGGGCATTTCCTGCTCTTGTAGAGGCCTCAGGTTCCACTCCTAGCACTCACATGGTAACTTAGAGCCATCTGCAACTACAGTTCATTCAATGCCCTCTTCTGGCTTCCTTGGACACCAATCACACACATGGTGTGCATGCAGGCAAGCTCTCATACACATAAAATAAAAATAAATCTTAAAAATAATAAATATAAAAATAATAATAATAAGTAATAGTATCTCCAAGTACAAGGAATACTTACTACTCTGGACATCTATCTGTACTGCTGTGACTCCACTTGAAGTCTGTGTTCTTGTTTCAAATCTCCTTCCAGACAAGCCAACATCTTTAGGAGCTCCAAGCCTATCACTGATGTAACACTTTCCAGTTCTGGACTAACTGTAGCATAGCCCTAATGTTTTCTGGGTTGTGTTATCTTGGACCAAGATGTTTGACTTTAGGTCACAATACGTATTATGCAGAACATAGTAGAGGTAAGGGGTACAGGCCCTGAAAGCAGTCAATCTTGCCTGACAGCACCACTCAGCATTTACTAATGGTCTCATCCATGTGTAATTGATGCCCCTCTAGCTCACTCAGTTACCTCACCTGAAAAATAGATGAGTTAAGTAACCATTCAGTAAGTACGACTCAGTGTGAATGCTTGATGGATGAATGGATAGGTAGGTAGGTAGGTAGGTAGGTAGGTAGACAGACAGACAGAAAGACAGATAGATAGATATAGATGTGTCTTAGTTAGGTTTCTATTGCTGTGAAGAGACACTATGACCACAGCAACTCTGATAAAGGAGACATTTACTTGTGGTGGTTCACTTACAATTCAGAGGTTCGGTCCATTATGGTGGGGAGTGTGGTGACATGGAGGCAGGAATAGTGCTGGAGAAATAGCCGAGTGTCCTACATCTTGCTGGCAACAGGAAGTCAACTGACTCACTGGCTGTATTCTGAGTATATGATACCTCAAAGCCTGCCCCTACAGTGACTCACAAGGCCATACCCACTCCAACAAAGCCACACCTAATAGTGCCACTCCCTATGACATTTTAGAATTATGGGAGTCAATTACATGCAAACCACCACAAGATGATAGATAGGAAGATAACAGATAGATAGATAGATAGATAGATAGATAGATAGATAGATAGATAGAAAGATAGATAGAAGACAGATGGATAGATGAATGGATGGATGGATGGACTGACAGACAAAAAGATAGATATACACACACAATAAGTACCCAGTATGAATAGTTGGCTATCACTTAACATAGAAGGCAAATAGTAACTGCTCTCACAGAACCCATGACCTAAACAAAGACAGACATATCGCTCAGAGGTTGGTACAAGCAGGCGAGAGTTGGTGATGGAGCTTTAGCTGCCATGACTTTGAGGTCTTCCAAAGACTACAAACCACAAAGTGCTGGGACTCACACAGGTTGGCTCACATACGGGTCCCAACTTGTGTATTTATATATTAATTATAGGACAAGGGAAATTTCCTGTTAAAATTCCTCAGACACTAAACACATTCCCAAGGGAAAGAGTCCAGTCTGGAGAGCCCTGCCTTGCGATTTCCCTTCTGCCCTTCTCCTCGGACCCCACCCTCATCTTTCATAAAGAGGTGTCAATAGCCTTACAGCAGGGCTGTCAGGAGGGTCAGCGGAGGTACTGACAGATGCCAGCACCACATAAGGAACACACTTTGATGAAAGCGGGTCACCAGGCCCTTTCCCAGCTGATCTCCTCATGCCTTGGAAGAGCCTCGTCTCCAACCAGCACGGCCATCCCTCTTCCTAACTGTGAAGAACAATTAAAACGAAAAGCAAGCAACTCATAATCTCTACCTTGACAAGCTCCAGCTGTCCTCAGTTGTCCATGGGCATTGAGCCCCCACTTCATGTGTGGCTAGGAATGGGCAGGCGGGCTGACACAGTCACTCACACACCCTCTCTCTTTCCCACCCCCAGTCATGTCTCTGCTGCTGCTGTCACCAGTCCAAAAGCCTCATGACCTCGGTCCCCATGAACGGAACAAGCATCCAGTGGAAGAATCACGACCAGAACAACCACAACACAGAAAGGAGCAGCCACAAGGACAGCATCAACTAGATGAACTAGCCCTCTGCAGATTCACCAATCACTATGTCTTCAAGTCCTGGCGGGGGAAATGGATACATAGCCGCAGGCCTCCCTAAAGCTCCCAAATTCATTCCCCCGGTCCTTCTCTAATCCAACCCAAGAAAAGAAAAGCTCTCCTGCCCTCCCAACAGCATGTGGTAGAACGGCTTCCAACCATAGTCAATGGGTCTGTCCTAAGATTTGAGTATTTTGCATGTCATATCCAACACTTGAAAATTATGAGAGCCGAGGGAGAAAGGAGATCACTCAAGGAACCCATACAATATCTGCCATCTTTGCAGGAACACAGAGTTTGAAAATTCAACCAGCTTTCAGGCAGTTCTATGGGGCAGCTAGTGAGAACACTCAGCAGAAGACCCTAGAGCAGTGGTTCTCAACCTTCCTAATGCTGCAACCCTATAAGACAGCTCCTCAGATTGTGGTGACCTCCAACCATAAATCGGTTTTGTTTGTATTTCATAACTGTAATTTTGCTACTGTTATGAATCAGAATGTAAATATTTGATATTTCTTATGATCTTGGGTGACCCCTCTGAAGGGACCATTTGACCTCCAAAAAGGTCTGACCCACAGGTTGAGAACCATGATCTAGCGGTTCTACTGGGTTTAGTGGCACATGCCTGTAATCATAGAACTGAAGAAGTGAGGCAAAGGCAATCAGGAGTTTGAGGTTAGTCACATCATCATGGTTCATAAAAGCCTGGGCTATATAATATTCTGTGTCAGAAATGCAGGTTTTAAAAAAACATTTAGAGATAATGACAAGATTTTTTTCTTTAGCCAGAAGTACTGTGAGGCTAAAGTACTTTGGAGATGTCGTTCAGTATTAGTGTTTTATATCTGCATGGACCCTGGAAATGATTGCCCCATCTTATTTACACACACTTAGAAGAAGATAAGGATGAGGGGATGGCATCGGTGAGCAATGGGGATATCTCTGTGTCGCTGTTTACTTGTAAACGTGACTTCTAAAGCTGCCACAAATGCAGCCGGAGCCTGAGACCACCGGAGCAGTGGAGTAGCTGCTAAACAAAGAATTTTTAAGACCTTGTATTTTCTTTTCTGTTTTCTTTTTTTAATGATGTTTTTATTAGAGCATATTTGGATTTGGTTTTGTTTAAATTTTGAGACAGGACTTCACTAAGTACATCAAGCTAGTCCCTGAACTCACAGATACCCACCTGTTGCTGCCTCCCAAGTGCTGGAATTAATGGCGTGTGCCATTACATCTGGCATGAGCTTATTTTGTGTTAAATTGAAAATAATAACACTTGGGAGCTGGGCAAGATGGCACATGTGACAAGCCTAAGGCTCTTAACACATGGGAGGCTGAGGCAGGAGGACTATGAGTCTCCTACTCCCACTCACAGTGGGAGGGATTCCACCTCAAAATAATAGCTATTAATAATGATACTGAGATCTTCCAGTTCAAGTTCTCATAACCCATCTTTGATTTTGATGTGAAAGCATGTCCTAAAGCTAAAGTGAATCCCTGGAGTGTGCCTGAGATGCCCAGTGCCATGCCAGAAGCACACCTAGGAGGAAAATGCTGAGTGGTTTTTGAGGACCTGAAAATCTCTTAAGTTCTGCGGTAGCAGCATGTATATGATGTGTGCTCAGTTTCTTCCACAGCGATGACTGGCTGCAAGGCTTTCCTGCTCATTCCTTTTTCCAGACAGGGAACAATGTCATAGTGGCCAAAGGAGCTGATCGTGTCGAGTGAAATGTATTATACCTGCGTGAGCCTTTAACTCTTCGTTCCTCTGATATAAACTTCAATCTCTGTCCTGTCCCCAGATTCCCAGCGGTCACCATTTCAAAGGGCCCACAGTAATTCTACTGGGCATTTTCCCAGATGTTTACAGACTGTGAGAATGACAAATATCTTTTATTCTGTATGTATATAAATATATAAATGATTGTAAATTTCTTGTAGACAAATTTTCTGTGATAGTCTCTATGGAATGTCTGTGAGTATGAGCGCGTGTGTGTGTGTGTGTGTGGTGTTTAAGTACGTATGGATTTAATATAATCTTAGGATGCCTTGTGTTTGGACCAAAGCACATGACTGGGAGTGGATTCTAGCTGACTGTTCATTATATAACCCACATATAACACATAATGTTCTTATGGGTCAGCTTTTGCCCATAAGAACCTCAAGTGTTCCATACTTGTGACTCGGTCACCATTACAGATGGTGGATGGCATCATACAAGGGAATGAGTGATTGGCTAGCAGTTGGAGATTTTGTTAGGTTAGATGGCTTGAAAAAGCAGTATTTGGGGCTATAGAGTTGTCCATGCCGGAGCAAAGTGTTTTGTAGTTCTAAGTATTATAATTCTCTCTTTATTTCCTTGAGTGTCTTTTTGTTTGGGGTGTGTGTGTGTGTGTGTGTGTGTGTGTGTGTGTGTGGTTACTTTTTGTACTGGGAATTAAGCCCATGACCTCACATATGACCTCACATATGCTAGGCAAGAGTTCTACCAGTGAGCTACATCCCCAGCCCAGAATTACTTTGTTATAATCCTCAACTGTGGTACAACTGAAAGGCTGCCTGGAGTTTCTGCCATACGCTTGGTTTATAGATAGATTGTTGGTGGAAAACTAGCTATGTTGGCTTGTGTCGTATTTTATTACAGTCACCACATCAGGTTGTTTGAACTGCAGGGCTGAGACATACTGCCCCTCTGTGTGGTAGTAGCCAAGTCCCATTGCACCACCGGAGTGTCACACACCTGTACATGCCTATAATTAGATATAGATGCACACAGTTTTGTTTATTAGACCATTGTCTTTTTAAAGATGCTTTTTTACATATAAAATACATTTTTTAAATCCAGAACATCTTAGATATGAATACACAGGCTTCGGTGTGCATTTTGTTCTTGGACTGATAACTTTGGTTCACACATACAAACGGTTCTATTTTCTACCTTTATCATATTTCCAACAAATTACTTTGTAGAAATGAGCCAGAAGCTAAGGGCCTGGGTTGGTAGTGTCCCTTAAACAGAAAATAAAGGTTTACAAAAACATTGCAAGTGTCCTTCTCTCTCTTCTTTTTATCTCTTTCCCTTAGGACAGGGTTTCTCTGTGCAGCCCTGACCAGCACAGGTGTGTCTTCTCACTTAGATAGATCTTCCCAGGAGTGCCTGTTGTAGGAAGTCTTGAGATTTCACCTTAGTAGCAGTCAGGCAAGCAATCTCACTTTTGAACAGATCCTCTGTTTAGTCTCCTTCACCCTGCCCTGTTGTGCCACACAGTTAACTCTCCCATCCATCCCTTATCTTTCTAGTCAAATCGTACTGCTTGATATTGGCTATCCAGCAGTGAACAAAACAGACAGTCCCAGATCTGATGGAACTTGCGATCGAGAGGAATTAAGAGCCAATAAACAATATGCTGTTTTACTACCAAAGGAAAACACACACCCATGGCAACTGTTTGTTTGACATCGCCAATTAGATGGCTAATAGACCATAATATATACAGAATGAACCTGACATCTCCCAAACTGTGCTAGCAAAACATTCTTCTGTTCAGTTAAATACAGTCCCATCTTTGGGCGATTTAAGGCAAACATTTGAAGCCACTTCTCATTCTTTTCTCTTACACCTTACACCAACATCTCAGTGAGTCCAGAAGCCCCCTTGGTAGACTGTGCCTAGGACTGTGCCACCTTTCTGCCCACCTCTGCCTCCTACTGTGTCGTCCATGTCACCTGTGGCCGGTGTAACTGCAGCAGGTTCTCATCCTGTCTGCTTGTTCCCTGCTTTGCACACACCCACACCCGTGGGAGGTCACACTCCATCCACACTGAGACCAGGTAAAGCCAGGCTGGTCAGCGTACTTGTGGGGTCTGGGGCCTAAGAAAGCACTGGGTAAGAGAGAGTCGTGTCCCACAGTGATGGGACAGAAAGCTCATGAGCCTGGAGCTGGCACCCGTGATTTGGGCATGATGAAAGGAATCAATCTATCCAAGACACAAAGATGGCAAAGAGTGTTGAGGTCGCCATTTCGGGGTTTTCTTGATGCTTCCCATGGGTTGTGGGAACAAAGCAGCTCCTTTACCTTTTGTCCTGTTCTGGTTAGATCCGTTTTCCATTGCTTAGAAGAACACATTATAAGACTAGCTTGCCTAAATTATCTTGATTCATCTTTTTGCATTTGGGATTGGTTTGTTTGTTTTAGAGCAGGTTAAAGTGTGCAAGAAAAGTAAACCAGAATTGAGTTGTTTCTACACGCTCCCTTTCCTCCCCTCCAATCTCAGTGTCTCCCATTACTCTTTGGCTCAGTGCAGAACACTTGGTGCAGGGACTGGACCAAAGCTGGCATGGCTTGATTACTGAAGTTTAGACTTTACATTGGGGCTCATCCCCTATGCTCTACATCTTGTGGGTTTTAGCAGGTGAATAATGTCACATAACCTCCAATACAGTCACTCTCTTCTCTTCCCTCCTCTCTCGGCCTACCTCTGTCTCTCAGACCCCTTGGCTTATCTTTTCACTCAATACAAATACAGATGTGCTACTAGTTTTAAGTCAGTTTCCACAAGCCAGAGTCCTTTGAGAGGAGTGAATTAGAGTTGAGAAAATGTTTCTGTAAGATCAGGCTGTAGACACAAAATAGTGATGGACGGGAGAGGGTCCAACCCGTTGTGAGTGGAACCATCCATTGGCTGGTGGTCCTGGGTTCTATAAAGAAAGCAGGCTGAACAATCCATGAAGAGAAGTAAGCACCCCTCCATGGCCTCTGCATCAGGTCCTGCCTCCAGGTTCCTGCGCTGCTTGAGTTCCTGTCCTGGCAATTATGACACGGAAGTGGAAACCAAATAAACCCTTTCCTCCCCAAGTTACTTTGGACCACGGTGTTTCATTGCAGCAATAGTAACTCCAAGACAGTGAACGCCCCCACTGTTACATGGCATTAACTGCCAGAAGCATGCCATGACATGAGAAATAAATAAACGCAATGGAATATTTGGTGGGGACTCGCCAGACAAAGGAACTAAGGGCTCAGGAGTCAGAATTCTTTTGGTGTCAGGTAGTCAGCATGAGTGCAGACATTGTGAGCCCTACTCAAGTCTGTGGAAATAAGACAGGAGTCTAGTATCATAATGAGAAACAGCAGCGTTACCTCTGCCTTGTGTTAAGTCAGTATTACTTCCCATTCAAAAAGGTTCACCTACCCAGGGACTGGAGGTCTTGCTCAGGGTTTATGTATCTACCTACTGTGCAGTAGGATTGAGTTTCCATGCAGGACTAACTTTCCATCCCCAGCACTGCAACTATAAATAATAAACAAACAAATCCATAAATCTATCCAACAAATCTTAAAGGACTAACATAATGAGCTAAGCGGACATGGGTCCAGATAGCCAAGCTAAGCAAGCATGTAGACTACCCTGCTCCCTGTGTTCTTCTTCCCAGTGCTGCTAGCCCCTGGCGCAGTATGCAGGTGGTGCTCTGTGCCTGAACTGAGGGGAACACTCTGCGAAGTTCAAGGCATTTCCAGTCTAGTGATTCTGAGTTCCTGTGCTGGTCAGAACTAGTGCTGTTCCATCTCCACCGCTTTTACTTGACACTTGAAACAGGCAAAGTTACATCAGAACACACATCTATCACACATGCACTGATTGGTTATGAAGTGCTAGTGAGGTCTTCCTATTTTGATAGTCCCCAGTGGTTTTTAAATAATCCTCCATTTGCTAGTGTTTCTGTCATTCTTTTTCGCTGAGTAGTAACAAAGATGACCCAGTGTCTATATTTGGCCAGCATTGTGCTCTGTGCCTTTTTATTTCTATAATAAAACTGAGAAAAGCCTCAGCTCTGAGAATCAGAAAATAATAAAGGATCTAGAATGCTTGCCTGTGCAAGGCTGGTCTTCCATAAGGCAGCAGACTAGCAACTTCCTCTGTCTCCCCTCCTCTCCTAAGCTTTGGCATCAGGATGATTCAGTAGAATCTATCAAATGTGTTTGTTCCTGGGAGAAATTAAATCAGGAGCTCCCATGCCAACTCAAAATAGAATCATAGGAGTCATGGAACCTCCCTGGAGCAAAAAAGAGAATTCCAAAGATTTTTCCTTTTTAGTTCAAAACTACCGTCCCCTTATCTGGTCAATGATCAATGCTCACTTCAATGTGATTCTGTGATGGCAGATACAAGTATGTGTTTGGTGTTGTGTAATAGATTTGTCCCAGATGGAAGTTAACCTTGCCCAGACTATGCACTACCCCACTGTCAGCCAAGTCACCGGCACAGCCCTGACTCACTCCATTTACACATTTTTTCCCAGAACACAGCCACTTCTCCATCAACTGTAGCTCTCTCCTCGTCCTTAAGCTTAACTAGTAAGTCCAAAGATGGAAAATCTATCAGCACACATGTGTGTGCATGCTTGTGTGTGTGTACATGTGCATATATGCATGTGTGTATGTGTGCGCATTTTGTGTGTGTGTGTGTGTGTGTGTGTATGTGTGTGCAAGAGAAGGCTTGGTGTATTCAATAGACTGTAAATCAACAAGAGGAGAACAAACCAGGCTTGTAAGCAGTTGTGGGAGACCCCAGAAAGACAGTTCAAGAGAAAAGCATCTTGTGTTTCTGAGACAGAAGAACCAAGGTTGGCAAAAGGAAGAGACCCTATGTGGAGACAAAAAAAGAAAAAGAAAAAAGAAAAGACAACTGATATATCAAGGTCTCCAGGAAGTGAGAGCAGGACACAACAGCCACACTCCAAAAGGGTGATCCTCTTCCTTTTTAGGATAAAATATGCTGGAACATTGAAAAGGTAACCAAAAGTCACCTGCATGAACGCTGACTTTGCCTGAACCAATCTCTGGCTGGGGGTGGGGGTGACAGGTTGGAGGGAGCTAATCTACAACTGGGATCAGAACGAATCTTAGAGACTGTCTCTGCTGTCCATTGGTGCCCTGGTCTATAACGTATAATGTGACCAGGAAGTGTGTGTGCCTGCATGTGCAAGCATTATAGGTTTTTATATGAGTTTTGATATCCCTCAATCTCCGCTTCAGCTTCACACATGCCAGGCAAGCACTTGAGCACCAAGCTACAGACACAACTGAAATTTTCTCATCAACTGTTACAAAAACTGTAAGAGAATTCGATTACACATGTGTATTTTCTTGCAGAACTGAGAGGGATGATGAACATCCAGTTGCTAAAGATCTATCTGTACAATGATGCCTTAGTACTCCACGGCAGTCCACACGGATGCTCTTTCTCAGTATCCTGAGTCCATCTGCGATGGTGATGTCCGAGATGAAGCCCAGAAGCAGTCTAGCTTCCTATGTCTATCCTTGGAGAATCTGTCATGTCGTAGACTGTTTTCTAACCACCCCTCCCTCCCTAGGCAGCACATTCCCCAGTATGCTTCAGTCTGGTGTTCATTAGGCAGGAAAGATCCTGGAGTTCCAACTCTCTCTACACTGTCTCTGTTTCTCAGATTCCATAACATTTGTAGATATCCAGTAAGTCCGTTATACACTGCAAAGTTCTTTAGAACCTGCTAGGCTGTACAGTTGCATGTGTCTACAAGCTGCTTGGCATCCAAGGGATATTTTCAACCAAACCGCAGAGGTCTCAAAGGAGCTCCATCTACTGGACTAAAATGACGTTTTAAGTTCCGACCATCACCCATCATCCCCACAGACTAGCTCAGTACTGCAGGAAGGGTTTTGTGGTTATACTTATGGAATCTCAACCAGGAATTATAATATATGATATACAATTTACAAGATCTTGCCTCTGTTATTATACAGGACACAACAAGAAAAAAGAGTGGTCAGTTTAATTGTTACCTCCCCAGGGGAAACGTCCAGTCACAGGAAGGCTTTTTTTCTTGCTCACCTAATAATGGGGTCTGTATCATTTGTCTCCCCTAATTACGCAAAAGACATGGTTGCTTTATGGTTTATAGTTGGGGACAGTTTATTATACTATTCCCACTGCCTCATGTAATTCTGGGTGGCACAAAGTGTGCGCTCAATGTGTAGACATTAATGATTTTAAATCAAGGAGACA